TTGCACAAACTGGAATTCAATTAACATTTTTCTGCAACAAAACTTGGAGAAGCAGTTCAGAGCTGCTGCTCACAATGCAGAAGCCACTGAACAAATGATATTCTCATTAACGCTCTGCCTTTCCCTGCTGCGCAAGCCAAATCCTTGAACACTAAAAGCACCCCAGCATCAGCTGGGTTCACAGACAACCAGAGCAATTTTTCAAGCTCCCTGACTTTTATAGACCATGGGGGAAGGGATTTGGTGTGCTTTAATCCGTTCTATTATATGAACTCAGAAATGGTTTTCACTCTCTAGCATTATAAATTAAGCTGGCTGCAGTTATTCTATTCCTGATTATGCTGGAAGTTACTGGCAATAATTTGATGACTGTATTTTCTCGCCTTTTCTTTTCTTTTTTTTTCTCTTCTTTTCCAAATTAACCTGTGAATTTAGTTTCCCTGGTAGTAAGTAAATAATGCAATAAAATTGGAGATAGTTGCCAACACATTCACATCTCAATGCCTGAAACTGTGGATGAACAAGTAAAAGCTTCTGTACTTTGTAGGTGGAATTAACTGTATTCCCTTCCCAGCTCTTAAGTCTGGAAGAACACGTCATATGAGAAAATCACAATTTTTTGCACTCCCCTGCATTTTTATTCAGTCTAGAAAACTAATCACTTTTTCAATATCAGTGAACTCACCTTCGCAAATCTTTAGACAAATACTATGCCACACATTTTAGAGACTGGAAAAACTCAGGTCAAGAATCATTTGCAGATGGAGTTTCTTACTTTTGCAGCTACTAAGTACCGACAAAGATGGAAAAGAACCTGGTTTTTTAGTGAACTCATAAAAATATATGCAAGTAGAGAACAGATTCCATCTGCTTGGCTTCTCCCCCTTTCCTCTGATCACTGTAATAACTTGTCTCCTAAACCCTGATAACAAACAGAGAAAGTGAGGCCACAGGTGAGGTGATGCTGACAAGGCCACACCTCGAGTGCTGTGTCCCGTTCCGGGGCCCTCACTACAAGAAGGACATTGAGGTGCTGGAGCGAGTCCAGACAAGGGCAGTGGAGCTGGGGAAGGGCCTAGAGAGTAAATCATATGAGGAGTGGCTGAGGAAGTTGGGGTTGTTTATCACGGAGAAAATGAGATGCAGGGGGGACCTTATTACCCTCTACAACTACATGAAAGGAGGCTGTAGCAACAGGGGGATCACCCTCCTCTCCCAGGCAACCAGTGACAGGACAAGAGGAAATGGCCACAAGCTGTGCTAGGGGAGGTTCAGGTTGGACATCAGAAAGAATTTCTTCACTGAAAGGGTTGTCACGCATTGGAATGGGCTGCCCAGGGAAGTGGTGGAGTCACCATCACCGGAACTGTTCAAGAAATGACTGGATGTGGCACTAAACAACTGCCTGGTCTAGCTGACATAGTGGTGTTTAGTCAAAGGTTGGACCCGATGGTCTTGGAGGTCTTTTCCAACCTAAATGACTTTGTGATTCTGTGAAAGATGAACACAGACTGGATTACCTCTGGATAAGTTAAGGGCTACGCTGTACAGTTTAAAGTGTAGTACGTAAGTTGCTTTACTACAGTGATGGTATTCTGGGAGTCTCCCTGTGCCTCTCTCATTCATGTGAATTAATAAACGTGTCTTTGATGACTTATTTCAATACAAATTACTTTCCAGTGTCAGTAAGCATAGCAGACTCCTGCTCCAGGTTGGATACTCAGGACCTTAACAAATATCAGCTTCTAAAAGCTTCAGTAAAACCTACCTGGGATTCCATCAAACTCAAGTGGCCATGTCAGTCATTGTCAATTATCCTAACTACAAGGACATGTCAGGTACACAGAAGACAATTCAGACAGCATGACTGTCCTAAAATGAAAACTTTAGCATAATGCACTTGACAGTGAAACAGCAATAATAGCTATTTTAGGAACAAAAGAAAAATACAATGGATCTGATGACTAAGTGTTCTGGTCCCCAATGTAAAAGCAAAGTAGATCCCTGTCATATTTAACTTGATTCCTTTGAATTAAACACTTCCATTAAAGTTTGCCACAGTAGCTTTAATATTTAATTATGTATTCCACCAAAGGAAAGAACAAAATCTTTGCAAAGGGTTTTTTTGGTTTTTTGCAGGGTTTTTTTGTGCATGTGAAATATTTATCAGCATATCTCTTTGGACAAGTATTTTTATCCCCCAGGCAGGGGGAAAAAAACTTCCTCGTACAAATCAGTTTCAAAACATTTTATTTTACAGCTTGAAAGTTTTCTATACTTCAGCACCTCACGCCGTGACTTTGTTATTTCACTTGTTAATGAATGGTAATTAAATCTCTTTTGGCTGAAAAGGTTGGAGGGCTCCTGCTGTATTACAAAACCAATTTCGGAAAGTTACAAAAATGCTCGAGTGTCTGGAAATTAAAGCGTAAAGTTTGCCGTGTTTTGAGTCCAAGTTTGAATCGCTTGGAAGGATTTAAGTGGGAGAACAGCATGTCCCACACAGTGTGCAGTGTCTCCCCAGTTGAAGAGACATAATTATGTCACTTTGTATCTACCAGAGTAAACACACTTGTGCTCTTAATAACGTACATTGTGGCCACAAACTTCCTTGATCTTACTAACAACTGTAGCAAACACTGCCTAAACCCTATTATATACGACCTACGCAAAGAACTGCTACATGTGTACATCTAAGTAAAGACTTGTTAATTTTGCATTTGCTCAGCAGGGCTTGAAACAGCAGCCTATTAATTTTTCTTCTTTTCTGTTTTCTCTTTCTTTTCAGGTGCTTTGAGTCAGAAGATAAATGGAGTGAGCGCTTACAGCAGAGGTAGATAAAAGAAATAACTACATATTAAGGCATTTGGTGGTGTTAAAGTGCTAAATAGAAGCGCAATATTGAAAAAGAAATATCTCCACTATTCACTTACATCACTGCAGGCTTCTGCTGGCATCAAATGGGCAGCTTTGGTCCACAGTTTGTAAAGAAAACTATCTTAATTGCAGTGTAATTTGCTGTACAAAATATAAATGCAATATGAAATACAATTCCAATGTAAAAATGCATTTTATTATATACAATATATAAAATTTTCCTGAAGGTGATACAGTGATTTCAGTGGATTCTGAATCTCTTTTAAAATTATAGTTTCTCAAACAACCCACAAATAGGGTTTAGCAAGAAACTGGGAACGGGAATGTGACTAGATGAGTCGATTCTTAAGCTGCAATTTTGGGAAGGGGTCTGGTTAACGGAAAGCCCCCTATGCTGAAGTGAGGTTCATTATCAGGCCTGAGGGGGGGTAATTTCGTCTTCATATCCGGGCAAGGTCTCTCCTTCTCCCTTTAAATAGAAACAAAGAAACAGAAAATATATATTTCATTCTGCAGCCCATAGATGTTTACAAACTAAGGAAATTTGTGTCCTCCAGAGTTTCTTTGGTGCAACCATGTATCAAGAGATCATTAAAATAAGTTGATTAAAGCCTTTTAGGCTAAACCACCAAGGCTAGGTGTCTGTTTGGATCTAATTACAAGCCTACTGATGGTGTTTGGAATTATTAAACATCGGAAATAAACGATCTTTCTTTGTGCTACTCCCCAAAATGGTCAGAGCACCTCATTAGAGCAAGTTTGTATGTGAGCTCCATGACTTCAGATTTCTAACCACCATCCCATCCTATCAAGAATATGCCTGTTTTCAAACAGCTACATTCACCAGAGATGCAATGGGGAGGTATTTTTAATTTGTTGAATTTTAATGAATCTATAGTGTTATCTGTCCTCACATTTTAACAAAGTTCCAGTGATAATTACCCTGTCTGTGACATTTGCAGAAAACTAACAGTTTGCTCTAGGTGCACTGATAGCCCCAGGAAGTTGCTCCATCCAGGAGGATCCAGGAGGTCTTGAATTTGATGGCCTTAAGAGGAGGGAACAAGAGTTAGCTGGTTCCACTCTGATGTGCTTTGGGAGGTAAGCACAGCACTACAAATATGAAGGGCAGTGTTTCAAACTCACTGTGATATACCTGAATGCTTCAGAGAAAGGTCCTGAGATACTTAAGATTAACCAAGTGGAGCTTTATGAAGTACTAGTTTATCATAACAGCAGAGGTCTCAAGGCTTTGCAAAGAAGGTCAGTGCCATTACTTTTATTTCACAGTCACTGAGACTGAGACACAAATGTGAGTGCAACCACACTATTAGTACTTTTTCTCGGTCCCCAGTAAGGGAAAAGAGAACACTTCCTGGAATTAATACTTTTGTCTTTGTCCCTAAATAACTGTCAGGAGAGGAGAAAGTTCAGAGAAACCCTGTAGGATGACTAGTTATGCACCCCTTTCCAAATTTAACCCATACAGAGGTGGGAGAATAGCCAAAAGACGGCACAGAAGAATGTAACCATGAAAACCATTTATAACTGGTTTTAGTTGTATCGATGTATCAATGGATATGCCAGCTGACAGCACTAAAAACTAACATGCTGTATTTAGATGGCTCATCCTATCTCACTATTGGGCTTCCAAGTTTGGGGAGAGAAAATGATGCAGAATCTATGCTCATTCTTTCTTCATGCTCCCATGGAGACAACCAACAGGCGTGCTCATCAGTATGGAAAATTCTATGCAACTCAATACTGTAATACATTATGCAGAATAAATGTGTGAGCAGTCACATGCCAAAGCTCTCAGTTACTACTGACATCCCTCAGTGCAGTTATTTACATATACAGGACTGCTGGATCAGGTGTCTGTGTGGATTTAAGCTTCATGTTTTCTCACCAATCCTTATCAAGATCAAAATAGAATCCTGGTGCTAGAATCCTGGTGCTAGAAGCAACTAGGAAAAGTAGTGATGCTGAAGGGGTGCAACAAGCAGGAGAGAATAGGAGGAGACAGAAGAAGAAAGGCTAAGACAACTGGGAAAGACAACATTCTGAATCAGAGAGCAGAAAAGGAGGATTTCGAATTCACGACTAAAATCCTAAACATTGAATTTTCACTTTGAACACAAACCAAAGCTAAATTGCTGCTGTCACTCATATTCCTTCAGCATCACACAGAAAGCTGCATTTTGTTCAGTACCAAGACTTTAAATCACAAATCAAAGCTATCTTGTACAAATCAATAAAAGCTTTAGATGACAATTTTGTGTGAGGTTATCTGAGAGTATTAATTCTCTTTCATAGCAGGGTAGTCAATAATGCTCTTAATGCTATTGTCCTGACAGGATCCTCTTTTTATTAGCGAAACCAGCTACATTTATTTCAGATATGATGTTCACATTAGCCAACAAGATAGAGATCAAGTCTGTGGTTTTGTGTCAGCTGGGATTTAGAGCAATTTGAGACAGTACAAATCCAATGGCCCTGGCTCTTTGGCACCCACACACCAGGCGCTGCCTGTGCAGCCCTGTCTGAGGTGTGGGATGGCTGTATGTCAGGGGAGAAGGACTCCTTGGGGAAGGAGTTGACTGCACAACAGGTTCTCTCTCAGAAAGCAAACCATGTGTCTTGCACAGTTGGCAGGTTGGAGAACAAAGGCTGCACAGGGTTTGTTTTCTCTGCACTGCTGGTGGCCAACACAAAGCACAGCCTAGAGATTACAGAAGTTGCAATTATCCAGGACTGATGTGCCCAGTTACTCCTCTGTGTCCTTCAAAGTAGATGCAGTCCAACAGGTTTAATTAGGGAACAAAACAGTGAGGGACAGAGGAGAGCAAAGTCCAGAACATGGACATCTCTTAGCAGCCACAAGGCAAGAGAAGTGCAAGGCAGGGCTGTCAGGACAGTGCTGGTGCCTTCTAAGCCTGTGGTGGGGGCAATAAGATGATACCATCCTTCAGAAACACCACCAACAGCATCTGAATGTACTCCAGAACACAGATGTCACAAAGACACCACGCTTATGGGACTACAGACACGTTTGCTCACAAGAACAACTTGACAAGCTGTGCTAATGGCAGATGTCTACCCTGAACCTACAGTGTATCCAGCACTAACTGACCTGCAACATGAAATTCCATCCACTGTATATGATTGACATGCCCCTGTTCAGTTATTATTAGCCCACACAGTATGTGGGTTCTTTTTAATTTAAAGCAGTTGTGTCCCTAACAAGTGGAGTTTTTATGGCAGGCATTAGTTCTAGGTGAAATGTAACAACAAAACATGGTGCAATTCTCCTCATCTGATGAACATAGAGACAGGATGCCAGGGTCCAAAACGGAAACATCAAAACTACTGTGAAGAGGACACTTAGCTGCTGGAAATGGATTATCAGGCATTATGGTAGCCTCACATATTGATCCTAAAGCTCCAGGAAGGCCATTAGCATTGCACAATTGTTGCTAATTCCAAACATTAAGGTAACATTATGCAATTTGCAGATGGACAAAAGTCACTGTTTATCACTGATAATTCTGCTAATTCAGTCATCAAATTTATTTGCTGGCTGAAATAGGATTAAGGAAGAAAAGATACAGGAAGCTTTGAATTATATTCAGACATGTAGAGAACTGTTGGCTTTACTGTGTGAGGAAGGCACAGGCTGAGGATAGAAATGGGTGGCAAGACAAAGGGCTTTCTGTGTATACAGAAAAACTTGGTAACAGATCCCATCATCTGACTGCAGAAATCTAAGAAATTTCTCTTTAAAAGTAAAGTCCACCCTCAGCTCCTTCAGCAAGTTTTCAGGTGACATGAAGCTGACTGGTGCAGTTGACTCACCTGAGGGATGGAATGCCATCCAGAGGGCCCTGGATAAGCTCAAGAAGTGGGCCCAAGGGAATCTCATGAGATTTATTAAGGCCGAGTGCAAGGTGCTGCACCTGAGTCAGGGCAGCCCCTCATATCAACCCAGGCTGGGGGATGAACAAGTTGAGAGCAGCCCTGCTGAGAAGGACTTAGGTGTGCTGGTGGATGAAAAGCTGGACATGAGCTGGCAATGTGTGCCTGCAGCCCAGAAAGCCTGTTGCAGGAGGACATGGGGTAATGCTTTTAACCCAAAGGAGGGTAGATTTAGACTGGCTATAAGGCGGAAATTTTCTGTTGAGAGGGTAGTGCAATGTTGGAACATGTTGCTCAGAGAGGTGGTGGGTGTCCCATCCCTGGAACCATTCAAGGTCAGGTTGGATGGGGCTCTGAGTAACCTCATCTGGTTGAAGATGTCCCTGCTAAGCATGGGGCTTGGACTAGACGGCCTTTAAAGGTCCCTTCCAACCCAAACTATTCTATAATTCTATGCTTCAGTGTGAGAGACCAGACACTAATTTGTGTCCTCTGGGTATCATCTCATCAGTATGAATAATTTAACTGGACTGCAGAACATGTTCAGCAACATCTCTGCTGGATGTTCTTGTCCTGGCCATAGATCATGGTAAATCTAGACCAGACTGAAGTAACATGAAGGATAACATTCAGGAAAATTAGGCAACAATACTATATCACCTCAGTCAAATATGACCACGTTCTGATCAAAAGGGTAAAGTATGGTCTAAAAACAAAAATCTAGCTTATGCAGAAAGCTGTGTAGACAAAACTGTTATTTTCCCATACTTATTCTGTTGCTCCTTGCGTTTCTGAGACAGATACTTCTTTTTCACATCGTTAAGCTCATTGTTAAGTCTTGCAATTTCACGTTTGTATTCGTTGCTCTGTGCTTCATACATATTCAGTTCTGAGGACAAAACCTAACAAACAAGAGACAAGTAGCACAAACAGGAAATGTTAGTTTCACTTACACATAAGTGAGTATTTTTACAAGTACTTTCTCCTTTCATATATGATGATGGAACACACCACCATTTTCTACCACAACTCTTTTTCCATCAGGATGTTTCACTTCTGTTGTCCTCTGTTCACCTAAGGACAACTTACCAAACTGGGAATGGTAATAATACACACATTAGCCCTTAACTTCTGAGACATAAATCTGGGTGAAAATCCAAAAGAAGGTCTTAAAAAATAATAAATCAGGGAATTATTTAACAATATTTAACAATGTTATTAAACAATAATAAAAATATTCACAGGGACTCACTGTTAAGTGGAGTAACTGAATCCACACAGACAAAGTAGTGCCAGGCAGTGTAAATATTAATACAATCCAACTTTCATACAAATCAGTTAAATTTTTAAGAAGAGGAGAATGCATAGTATGTTTTCTTTCTATCAAAAGGAGAATAACTTGACCTGGTACCCCAAAATGTAGTGCATACCAGCACACTACAGCATACTGTGCCCGAAATACACAGTGGCAATTGAATGCATTAAGGACAAATAAGAAAACTTCATAGAAAACTTCAAATCACATTCAGTTTAGCTAAACTTTGGCTTCTATTTTACATTTTCTACATTGTTTTTCTTCTCCATAGAAAGCTAAGATTTGCATAACAGCCTCTTTTGTTTCCTAAGGCCCCATCTGCTCCTGCATTTTTTTCCTCGTGGTTAGTATAGACGTGATTATGATGCAGTGAACAGGAGATGATGACTTCAACAGAGAGAGAAGCCATATAAGCAGATGAACTCCTGGGGAGACTGATCTCTCATGCAGGCAAGAACAAGGGAAGATCAGCTTATTCATAGAATATCACAGAGTTCTATCAAAGAATCACTTTTTAAGGTCATGCTTTTTAAATTTCCTACAAAATTCTTTTGGAACCAGGAAATCCTCCCTTCTACTGACAAGGGGTTAGAACAGGTTCCTCCTGTCTATATAAAATCCCCTATAAAATCTGCAAATCTAATTTACGTGGATGTGTTGCAAGAGAAATAATGATAATTTAAGACTAGATTATATATTCCCACTACTTTGTTAAAAAGAAAACTAAATGGCTTTGATTTGCTTCTTACAGATCTCAACAGTTTAAGAAAAGTGAAAGAGAATAAGCTTAATGAAAAGCTGGCAGTGTCCCAGAATGCCCATGCACAAAACCAATTTACAGCATTGTGCGGCACACTCATATCCTAATAAGACTTTTCCTTTATTTTAATGAAACAAGCCAGCATAATGTGTAAAAAAGTTCTCTTGCTGCTCCTGCTTCTCCCTTGAGGAGTTGCAGTATCAACCTTATTTCTCCTGATCTAATCTACTAGGGCAGGCACACTGTTCACTGAAATTCTTCCTGCAGCCTCACTCCCCTGGTGCAGTCACCCTGCAGTGCTGGCAGCCCCTCAGCCACAGGCAGTGGGCACCTCTTACTTTGAGCTGTTTCGTCTTGTCCCGGAGGCTGCGCCGGTAGTGCTGCAACTGTTCCGTGGCTTCAGGCCCAGGCTGCCGGGCCAAGACTTGCCTCAGCTCCACGTACAGTTTCTCCTTTTCCTAAGAAATAGACAAGAGGAAGAGGTCTTAGAAAACTACTGAGGCAGCAGCACAGCCTGTGATGAAATCAATCTCACTGGAAATTGGACTGCAAACAGGAAGAGACGCGGAGAAACAAATCTGCTTGTGTGTCAGTCTCTCCTCACTAGCCATAAGGTATTTAAAGTTGTTGTGATAGCAATGGGAGAGCTCATTAAGAGAAACATTCAGCTATTTTGAACCAGGAATGAAATGCTCTCAAACACCTTCATCAGTGAGCACATTCCACCCCAGAGAACCTACAACAGTCACTGGAAGAGTATCCAGGGCTGGGAAATTAATTACTAGTAACTGTGCTTATTGCAATCTTACTTCTTATGAGTCACACTGCCTTACATTAAAACATCGTAGCTTCACCCAACAGGATGTGAGCAGGCTATAGAAATGTCAGGGAGGGACTGTACAAAAGAATAACTTCTTCCAAAGAAAATCCTGCAAAGCACATGTACACACACACACACACACACACACACACACACACACAAACACACATATATATTTAGGTAACCTTTCAGTTTAACTGCAGGGGCTCTGGGAAAGGGGAAGAAAGTATGAACAGCAACAAGGATGACTAGCACAAATACACCAAGTAATTTTATATTGTTATGTGTCTCCTCTTCCTTCATGTTGGAACAGTAATACTTGTAGGAATTGTATATAGTCATGCCCGAACAGAAACCACACCATGGACCCACTTACAGCTCTCTGTACTGAAATGCTGCTTTCAGCTGTGTTTTGAGGAGGTACTTATTTTCACTCTGAGGAATAAAGCTGTGAACAAAGCCACCTTCACAGATTTGCACATTGCAATAGTTTTAGTATCTACCCTGTCAAACTAAGATCATTATTATTTCACATTATTTAGTAAGATCACATCCTCTTCTGGTACCTGGAGAGCTGAAATTGAAAAAGAGACTAGCAGACAAAAGAGGAAGACAAAAATGCCAAGAAGGAGGTAGGATAGGTGATTATTTACACTGTATTTGACAAAAACCTTTTAGCTGTCTTTTTTATAAGCTCCATCTATAACTCTTACTGCAGAATTCTTCTGTGGGACCATTTCTGTGGGAAATGGTACCTCCACATAATCTAGAATTGCAACATTTGCTCCTGCTCAATGATGGAGCCAGGATTTTCAGAAGTAGGTTGCAATTTCGAAGATGTAAAATTTAAGGTGTCCAGTCTTCAAGAGCACAAGGAGTCTGGAGTTTTTAGACCTCATCATTTTCTGAAAGCCATGCACTACAATGACCACAAGCTGGGACCCAAAAATGGAATCACTTGAAATTATACATTATTTTTGCAAGCATCGTCCTTAAACTCTGAAGATTACTGAGGAACAGTTTCCTATAAATGTAGCTGTACATAGTTTATCTCTGGAAAAATCAAAGCCCCCGAGACTCAGACTGAAGTTTGCATAGTGGCAAAAATTAAATTCATAATTCATTCTGAGTAGAGAGTTGTTATGCCACAACAAGTGGCTTCCACTAACAGCTTTTCTTTCCAAGGAAGTAAGATTTTACTGCAAGGTAAAAACAACAGCAAAAGAAAAATATATCTTGTCAAAATCTGGCCGGTCAGTATTAACATTTCACCCCTGAATGTATCACAGATTTGTATTTTGAAAGAGTGTAATGGTAATTTGGACAAATATGGAGCAGTAGATGGATTGAAAGTCTTATGTGCAATTGTTTTCCAATTTTTTTCTCTCCTAACCCTCTGCAATAGCCAAGCAAGCTCTTCAAACATTGTGCAATGGTGTGTATAATAATCTCATTTAGAGACAAAGTGTGCAATTCTATTATAAGGGGAATCTATCTTATGCAACAGAGACTCGTTAGCTGTCCAATGCATATTGTCTCTATAATCCAGCAGAGGCAGAACCAGATGTCTTGTAAAGCATATCCTGTCCTTCCTTGCTAAGCACTGTCCATCTCTTTTACATCTAGTCAATTAATTTGTCACTGGGTTAGAAGCACCATATGTCAGCAAAACATCAAAAGAAAATCCTGGATACTTCTTTCCTCATCAGCAGAAGTTCGGATTCACAGGTTGGCATTTCTATAATTTCTCATATTTAACCTTAGCATGGAAAAAAAAAATTAAAAATCAATTAATTTCAATTAATTTTAGAACAGTAACTACCAGAGTAAATCCAAGTGAGTTGCACAGTACATGTGGTTCTACCACCAAAAATACATTGTTTACAGCATTTACTTTTATCTCTACACACAAGAAATCAGGAACGCCACAGAAAAAAATCAGCACAAATTATTAAAGGAAAATTTTGTTTTCTATAATAGAGTCAATCCACTACAACTGGCTTTCTTTGGCTTGTCCCAGACTGCCTCCCCTTGCACTTCCCTCTGTCCTAACACCAGGCTGCAACCACAGCATACATCTTGCCAGAGTTATGCAGCTTTGAAATGAAAGCAACTTAGAGTCACAAACACAGTGTGAGACACAACACTTCTTCTTGGGGAGGTGCAGGAAGATCCATCACATCTCTCTGTAACTCCATGGTGTTAACCCTTCACTGGCAAGAGTAACGTACGTGTGTTCAGATTAGGTCTAGGCCAGTAACAAAGCTTTTTCACATGATCCTTCTACAGTGAAATTCCCATGGAATTGAGCAGGTGTTTGACTGTAGGATTGAGCCCATAATGTCAACAAGATTCACTGTTTTATGACATAAAATAAGACAAGGTGATGGTGCAGAGATGATGACGCATGCATTTTGTGTAGGTAGGGCATGCAGGGACACTCAGATTGAGGGTTGCAGTCAAATTTCAGTCATTCCAAAGAGAATTTCAGCACCTCTGTGAATACCAGCTGTAAAAATTGTGTAAATAAAACAGCAAATTATTTTTAGAACAGCCCTTCCTGTCTTAGATTTGTTTTCCAGGGGATTTCCAAGGAGCTCACAGATCTGCCGTAGGCTCAGCCATGACAATAAGTTTCTTTATCTCCAAGTCTCTCACCCAATTTGGAGGGGGAGGGTGGGGAATTGAGTGGTGCTTTGCCCTAAATTTAACTAGGTGTTGTCTCAGCCATATACAGTATTTCTCCTGACCTGTTTTCTCTTCAGCAAATTGAGAAAAAATAATTTTCTTCTGCAGAAGACTGGCTCATGTTTGGCAAATTTCAATTGATTCTCCAGGATCAAGTGGTCAGGAGTTTGCTCAGTCTAGAGCAGAAGAATCACTTTTGCCAGCAAAATCCTACTTCAGAAGAAGCTATTGCTGCTGACTAGCACAGCCAAATTTGTTTTTCCCAGTGAGAAGAACCATCGGCACCATCAGACACATTTCCCTAAGTGACAGCAAGGCATTCACTGCTCTGACAGGGAGTGGGAGGCAGTCATCAGTTCCAGGCTGGAATAGACCATGGTACCTGGTATTAGCTCTAAAGATGACACAAAGCTCCCTCACCATGACACCAGGAAACTCCTGAAATGACTCATCTTGTTCGTTAGACCAGGGTTTCATTCTGAACCAGAGACAATGGACAACCCTACACTTAATGAAGATGTATTCACAGCAGAAATAGGCCCTGAAGTCCCAACTTCCTCCTTTTTATCAGATTGTCTTTCCAAGTAGATAACTCAATAAATTTACCTGCCATAGCAGCACCTCGACAGCCTTTTCCACCAGACCCACAGAAATCCTATTTTGCATGAAAAAATTTCTATCATACAAATTATTTAAAAAAAACAACCAAACAAACAAAAAAACCCACACACAACACATACACAAAAAAACCCAAAAGCCTTTGACTCAGATTAAATTTCATTTAAGTCAGCTCCTGTCTTCAGCAATTGAGCTAAAGAAAAAAAAAAACAAGATAAAGATGTAGCGCAAAAGTGTGCAATATAGTGTATGGCAGCAAACCCCAAACCACTCAACTAGCTAAAAATCCTTATTTTAATTAGTAAGGTGAAGAAAGCAATGTAATAACCATGTAAGAGCTCCACAATTAATTAATTATCAATTAATTATCAATTAATCGATCAATTAATTATCTCCTGCTCTGTGTGAGCAGAAACACACACACATTTGCACACAAAAGAAATGGGAGCTGTTCCTCGAAAGTGAGAATTACCCCTGACAGTGACATGGAGTGATGTCAGCATTCCAGCTATTTCCACCGTGTCTGCAGCTTGACAGTTGGGTTGAAGAGAGCTCTAAACAAACCTTTGCTTCATATTCTAGTAGTTGTTTGTCTTAAAGTGTGCTGGAGGAGAATCAGAAGTTTATACAAATCTTAATATTAATCAACAATCTAAATATTCTAAGTGAATAGTCTACAAGGCAAATGGGGAACCTTTTACTGTATAATAATTACTTTATACAGGGTTTCAAGCAAAAAAAAAAAAAAATCAAGTCTCTTCTTCAAATCTAGACTATTTGACCAAAAACCTCTGTATTATAATGTCAGTGTAACAGCATGTGTTTTAGCTGTTCAATAGCCATTTAGATTTTTAAAATATCAGATGAATCAAAGGAGAATTATCACAGCTCTACTGATAATAATGAGCTGTTTCTGCAGGTGGAGGATTGGGATGGGCATTCCCAGAAGTCCCAGCTTCTGCTCTCACCTTAGACTGATCTGATAGATGACCTTGAAGGGTCAGAGAAATTGCAGAGCTCCTTCTAGAAATACCTACTTGTAAGTTAGGCACCTACATCTCTTTAATCACCTGCATGACCTAAACCCTTCGATTTCCCTGAAAGATGAGAGCACTTTGCTTCAAGTCCTTTGGTGTTCTGGAATTGCTAGCTCTGAACAGCTGTCTCAAAGTCAAGTTACCACTTAAATCTACAAATACCTGTCTAACAAGGCAGTAAAACCTACATACATCTTTTTGACAGGATGGCAGAGTTTCCCTGCATATGCCAAGTACCTCAGGGAAGAAAGACCGGTCTCCTGTTACACTTTGGAACCTATTAAGAAATAACAGT